CTGTCTCCCTTAAAATCCTTGGTTTTCTTCCCTTTGCCCTTAGGCTAAAGTCTGTAAACCTTGGTACTTCCCAGGAGGCCCTGTTTGTCTGGTTAGCCCCTGGCTGCCTCTGACTCAGCTCCTGACTCCTCCCTCCACTTTTCACTCCATTCTAGCTGTATTGGATTTCTTTGTCTGTCTGGCCCTCAGTCTCCTCGGATATTGTGAAGTCCTGTGCCCGCAACATTCTTCCTGCCTTCTACTGATTAGCCCTTGGCTGGTTTTCCTCTCAGAATCACTTCCCTGGAGAAGTCTTGCCTTATCCTGCAAGCCAGGCCAGGTCCCCTTTACATACTTCCCAGCATGATGTGCTTACAACTCTCAGCACCTTTGTTATAATTTAATTATAGTATTTCAAATTATGTGTTTGTTGCCATTTCCTCTTTTTGATTGTAAGTACCATGAAAGTAGGCACCATATCTATTTTATTCACCAAATCTACCGCAGAGCACAATTCGTGGCACATAGTGTTTGTTAAATATTTGGTGATTGATTTTTCTGTATTAAGAAATGAAGGAAGCCAGGCGCGGTGGCTCACACCTGTAATCCTAGCACTTTGGGAGGCTGAGGTGGTGGGTGGATCACCTGAGGTCAGGAGTTCAAGACCAGCCTGGCCAACATGGTGAAACCCCATCTTGAAAAAAAAGAAAAAAAAGAAAAAAAAAAAAAGAAGGGGTCTGTAAAATTTGGATATTTAATTTGCTTTAAATGATATTTAATCCTTTTAAAGTTGCCAGATCTATTTCATTTAAGCATTTTGTATTAGAACAAGAGTTGGCAAACTAACGCCTGCTGGCTGTTTTTGCATACAAAATTTTCTTGGAACAGGGTCTCACTCTGTTGCCCAGGTTGGAGTGCAGTGATGCCGTCTTAGCTCACTGTAGCTTTGGACCTCCCAGGTTCAGGGATCCTCCCACTTCAGTAGCTTGGACTACAGGCACAGGCCACCATGCCCAGCTAATTTAATTTTTTTTTTTTTTTTTTTTTTTTTTTGGTAAAGACAGGGTCCTACTGTGTTGCCCAGTCTGGCTTTGAACTAAGCTCAAGCAGTCTTCTCACCTTGGCCTCCCAAAGTGCTGAGATTACAGGTGTGAGCCACCATGCCTGGCCACATATTCTTTTATGGATTGCCTGTAGCTGCTTCTACAAGAGGGATTATATGGTCTATAATACCTAGACATTTACTGTCTGACTCTTGACAGAAAACGGTAGTCAACTCCTGAATTAGAACATCTTAAAAAATTATTTGGTTTCTTCCTCTGAACTTCAAATGAGGCATAATTTTGAACTTTGTTGATTACTGTACCATACGGCTGCTGTTTTGTTACTCTATGGGGATGCTGATGGAGCTTATGTAGAACTTTTCTTTTTCCAGATTTGCTTTTTACTTGTTTTTATGTCTTGTATCTGCCTGCCACTCAAAAGTAGATCCTTACCCTTTGCTCTGAATGTGTGGTTTATGACCCTCTGTGAGCAAAGGAATGAGATTACTAGGCTTTTCAGAATTAATGTTTAAAGAGTAAGAGGTTCAGAGGGAGGCTGTGCAGGATAAGTGAAGAACAACCACTTTTTGTGTATAAGAAAGTAAGACATCCAGTTTGACTATTTAGAGGCCTTCTAGGTAGATCCTTATCTATTCCAGTTAGCTGAGATTACTGGCTGAAGAACAGACCTGGGATAAATGAGGTACTGCTGTATTAGCCCATATCACGTACTGTTGCATAAGTCTGAATTTATACAAGTGGACAATTGCTGTGATCGAGTTTTCAAACTTTCCGTCTCATTCTGAGTTTAATGCTCTGATAGTATTCAGGTAGAAAGTCAACTCCCAATTCCTTGTGGACATTCACCTTTACACTTTAACACCCTGAACCCTGGCTTTCTGCCAAAATATTTTCTTTCCCAGTGGCTGGAAACTGATTAGCTAGATGGGAGAACAAAGGTGGCTTTGTACTGGGGCATATTGCTTTTGAGAATTTAGCAGAGAGCATTCAAATGGAGTCTGGATGCGATGCCAAATTATGCAGATTTGGGGTTTTTTTGGTCAGGTTTCCCATGAGTAGGTATGTAGGCAACTTAGTATTGTTCTTAGTTTGCATGGTCTGGAATTTCCCTTATAAATGTTATGTAGGTTTTCCTATTGGTTGTTCTAAAACAAATGTATATAATTTTGAGAAAACACATTACTAAAAGACTATTCTTGATAGGCTTTTTGGCCAAAAAGATTATTGTATCAATGGGTTTATATCCAAAGCCATATTATAAATACATTTCTGTCTCTGTAAGAGCCCAATGCAAATACTCTATAAATGATGACAAAAGTATCCCCAAGGGCAAAAGAATGCCAAAAAAAGAAGATATCCTTAATCTTATATATTTATCTGAAACTAGGTTTTGTAGTGTGTTCGTGCAGCATCAGAAAAGAATATTAAAGCTCCCTGTACTCTGACACGATTGATACTTAGCATTCATTATGTGACTTGTGTAGTAAGAAAGCCTGGGCTCTAGTTCTTTCTCTGTAACTTACGTTGTACCGTTGTACCCTTAATTTCTTGGTTATAAAACAAAGATGATAATAGTTTAGCTGAGGGGGTTAAGAATTAAGCAAGAGAATATGAATTGAAGCACTATACAAATGCAAGATGGTGATATCAGTGTTTTCTGTGGCAGAAGCTGAGACTAGGATTTTCAACTATTTCTTTTGTGGAGGAGGAGGGAAGCCATTTATTTTTTGTTTGTTTCATTTTTCCTGGCCACTAGAAAATCAGGGAGAGGCCTTTTGTTTATTATTGAAGTTTTGTTTTTTTTTTAATTCATGTAAATTTCACTTTTTAGTTTATTCTCGCTGTAGTTATTTTTGAAAATACTAATTTAACTTTTGTTTCTGCTGTTGCATTTTTCTTTTTACCTCTCATCCTCTGATGAGATGTTTTGTTTATAGACTATCTTCCTTCAGCCATATAATTTAACCATATCTGGTGTTAGGTTTCTGTTTTCTCTTTTAGTTTATTATTTAATTGGGTGGCAGGATTTAAAGATGGGAATATTGTTATAGAAACAGAAAGAAAAAACAACAAAAAAAATAAAGATAGGAAGATTTTGCCTAAAAATAAGATTTTCTGGCATGAAGAAAATCCGCCAGGAACTGAGAAGCAGCTGTGCCATCTAAATGAGGCAGGAGCTCTCTAGTTTGCCAGAATCCTTACTACTTCCTGTTTGTGTCACCACCACTGAGTACAAAATATCATGGCACTTTATGCATAGTTTTTCACACAGTAAAGAAAAAAGTTAACACTCTACCTTTGCCTCTTTCAAAATGAAAATGAGAGATCAAGAATTGCCGGGTATGATAGCCCACGCCTGTAATTCCAACACTTTGGGAGACTGAGGCGGGTGGATTACCTGTGATTAGGAGTTCAGTCAAGACCAACCTGGTCAACATGGTGAAACCCCATCTCTACTGAAAATACAAAAATTAGCTGGGCGTGGTGGCACATGCCTGTAATCCCAGCTACTTGGGATGCTAAGGCAGGAGAATCACTTGAACCTGGGAGGTGGAGGTTGCAGTGAGCTGAGATTGTGCCTCTGCACTCCAGCCAGGGTGATGGAGCAAGACTCTGTCTCAAACAGTAACAACAAAAAGAACTCCTCCAGAAAACTGAGGGAGAGTGTTTATTTGCAGAAGACCAAAATTCCTAAGGGTTTGATATGCACCAGCATCAATTACATTATCTGCCCACTCAGCGTCTGATATAGGTATATGATTTTTACTCTCTTGTTTTACCTTGAGAATCAAATATCCCATTTCAAGTCTTTGAGCTGAATATGATAAACATGCAGATTGCAGGTGTGTTTTTGTTTTGCCACCCAGGCTGGAGTGCAGTGGCGTGATCATAGCGTACTGCAGACCTGAATCCTAGAGTGAAGCCATTCTCCTACCTCAGCCTTCCAACTAGAACTAGCTGCGACTACAGGCAGACACTATTAGACTTGGCTAATTTTTTTTTCACTTTTTGTAAAGACAGGGTCTCACACTGTTACCCAGGCGGGGCTCAAGTGATGCACCCACTATGGCCTCCGAAAAAAGCACTGGATTATAGGCATGAGGTACCATGCCCAACCACATTGCAGGTTTTTTAAACAAGTGAAGGAAAAATATATTTGAAGTAGCTGGTTTAAAATGATGTTTTAAGCTGGACACAGTGACTCACACCTGTGCTCCTAGCACATTGGGAGGCCAAGGCAGGAGGATCTCTTGAGGTCAGGAGTTCAAAACCAGCCTGGGCAATGTAGCAAGACCCTATACAAAAAAAAAAAAAAAGCATACATAGTTAATGATGTTTAAGAATATGTAAGATCTGGCCGGGCACACTGGCTCATGCCTGTAATCCCAGCACTTTGGGAGGCCGAGGTGGGTGGATCACGAGGTCAGGAGTTTGAGACCAGCCTGACCAACGTGATGAAACCCCGTCTCTACTAAAAATACAAAAATTAGCCAGGTGTGATGGCGTGTGCCTGTATCTATAGCCTCTACAGGAGGTGGAGGCAGGAGAATCACTTGAACCCAGGAAGAGGAGGTTGCAGTGAGCCGAGATCGTGCCACTGTACTCCAGCCTGGGTGACAGAGTGAGACTCCATCTCGAAAAAAAAAAAAAAAAAGAATATGTAAAATCTGTCAATTTCACTTACTATATTTAATGTTTAATAGTCACTGAGCTCTGTAAACTTTAACTTCACATTGGTTTATTTTGTGATGTGTATTTGAGATGGCCACCTAGTGTTTTTTTCTGGTATGGCGTTTTACTACTGTAATAGATTATGATCTGATTAGAATAAGTTTATTAGCTAGTTTGTTTATGTACCAGATATATTTTGAGTTATCCTTTCTGTATAGATTCAGCTGCAAGAGAATAGATATTTTTACAGCATTTCTATAATTATTTTGTTCTATTTTTAAACAGAAGAAGCAGACTACAGTGCCTTTGGTACAGACACGCTAATAAAGAAGAAGAATGTTTTATCCAACGTATTGCGTCCTGACAACCATAGAAAAAAGCCACATATAGTCATTAGTATGCCCCAAGACTTTAGACCTGTGTCTTCTATTATAGACGTGGATATTCTCCCAGAAACACATCGCAGGGTACGTCTTTATAAATACGGCACTGAGAAACCCCTGGGATTCTACATCCGGGATGGCTCCAGTGTCAGGGTAACACCACATGGCTTAGAAAAGGTTCCAGGGATCTTTATATCCAGGCTTGTCCCAGGAGGTCTGGCTCAAAGTACAGGACTATTAGCTGTTAATGATGAAGTTTTAGAAGTTAATGGCATAGAAGTTTCAGGGAAGAGCCTTGATCAAGTAACAGACATGATGATTGCAAACAGCCGTAACCTCATCATAACAGTGAGACCAGCAAACCAGAGAAATAATGTTGTGAGGAACAGTCGGACTTCTGGCAGCTCTGGCCAGTCTACTGATAATAGCCTTCTTGGCTACCCACAGCAGATTGAACCAAGCTTTGAGCCAGAAGATGAAGACAGTGATGAAGATGACATTGTCATTGAAGACAACGGAGTGCCACAGCAGATTCCAAAAGCTGTTGCTAATACTGAGAGCCTGGAGTCATTAACACAGATAGAGCTAAGTTTTGAGTCTGGACATAATGGCTTTATTCCCTCTAATGAAGTGAGCTTAGCATCCATAGCAAGTGGCACAAACACAGAATTTGAAACACCTGCTCCAAATCAAAAACTCTTAGAAGAAGATGGAACAATCATAACATTATGAAATTGTTGTTTGAATATTTTCAGAGTGAGGATGCCATGAGGACTTGTACATTCGGCTAGTTTAAAAGCATATATACCTCTGACCAGTGATGTGGAATAGGCATGAGAGGAATAACGTTGCAAACTTAGAATATTATTAAAGTAGTAGTTTGATAATTGTTAATATAAACTTTGGTGGATCAGAGGTGAACTTAAGTCCAGAACAAAGGGGCCTTTGCTGATGAAATTATGTGCTTTTGCTATTTTGTCTATGGAGAATTAGATGTTAAAGCACATTCTTGGAACTATGTGAGAAGACTAGATCATTTCTGTTGGAAGTGGTTGCATATTTAACCTGCTGTGCAGAGCCTAGTTAATTTTTTCTTTAACTGTATTTTTAAAATTCTAATGTGAAGTCTGATTCTCTCTTTTGGTACATTGGGGATCTCAGCTTTTACAGGTCTTATGCTCCATATATATATATATATATATATATATTTTTTTTTTTTTTTTTTTTTTTTTTTTTTTTCCTTTGAGACTGGGTCTCACTCTGTTGCCTGAGCTGGAGTGCAGTGGTGTGATCACAGCTCACTGCAGCCTCAACCTCTTGGGCTAAAGCAATCCTCCCACCTCAGCCTCCTGAGCAGCTGGGACCACAGGCGCACACCACCACACCCAGCTACATTTTATATTTTTGTAGAGACAGGGTTTCGCCGTGTTGCCCAAGCTGGTCTTGACCTACTGGACTCAAGCAATCCTGCCTTGGCCTCCTGAAGTGCTAGATTATAGCCACCATGCCCAGCCTGTTTTGATTTTTGTTTTTTCGATGTTACTCTGTTATAAATTGTAACAAATTATGTTGTCAAGTGCATTTCCAATGTCTAAGAAACTGCTTGGCTATTTTGAGGAGTTGCTTCACATGTCATGAAGCTCTCTCTCTCTCTCTTCTCAAATGACAGTGTTGCCCAGGCTAGAGTGCAGTGGCACAATCTCAGCTCACCTCCCAGATTCAAGCAATTCTCCTGCCTCAGCCACCTGAGTAGCTGAGATTGCAGGCACGCGCCAGTATGTCTGGCTAATTTTTATTTTTAGTAGAAATAGGGTTTCACCATGTTGGTCAGGCTGGTCTCGAACTCCTGATCTCAAATGATCCGCCTGTCTCAGCCTCCAAAAGTGTTGAATAACAGGCCTGAGCCACGGCACCCAGCCAGGAAGCTATCTTTTCCTGAGTTAGAAACTCTGCAACAGTTGTTCAAGTTGGTGTTTGTCCATTGTATAGCTTTCATATTTGCAAGTTAATTCCATATGGCCATAATTTATGTTTTAAAAGGTAATTCTCTTGACTTAGGAAATTTGGAATACTCTCCTTTAACCTATATTTGTTTCCATTTCCAGTCTCATTTGAAATCATTCCTTTTGTTGTGTGTGTCTTTTGTTGGTGTGCTTTTATATGCTTTTAATGCATTCAAGTATAAATCATTTTGGATTAAAAAATGCATCCAAATTAAGAGGTTTTAATGCATAGGACAAACTTGTGCACTTTTTATACAAAAAAAAAAAAATTGGGTTTTCCTTCATGGGATTTCTAGAAACACTGCCTACACTTTATGAAAATACATAGTATTCACCTGTGACAGGTAGAGTTTATCACTATTAATTTTATGAGGCTATTTATTACTTTCCAGTGCATCCACTTAGAACAAGCTAAGAGTAAGGCTGCTAACTTTAATTCCTTGCCTGATTTTATTGTACAATGTGCACAAGCACAACAGTATGCTTGTATATAGAAACTAAGAATATTATGAAGTACATAAGCTCCCTATGGCTTATGGAGAGTTATTTATTATTAACTTTATGGTAGGGCTAGTATGAATACCTTTTTAACAATTGTGTGCTATTAATGAAGATTCAGATGACTCCGTTTTGAAGGATGTTTTCTCTATATGGTAAGATATATGAAGTAGTCTTGATAAAATGAAGATCACTTGACTCAGAATACTTCAGTGTATTTTGTTCACATTACTACCAAGCATATTATCAGTAAACTGTTAACTGCACAGCATTATGTAATACAATGTACTTTTTGTTGAATTCACCGAAGTTCTTCCATGTATACACTATTTTGAATGGCATTCCGGCTTTAACATTCTGTGAGTCTTATAAATTTGACTCTTGAATGGCAAAATGTTAGTATGTAGAAGGTTAACTTTCATTTATAATATAAGTGGTGCAGGGGTTCAACATTTTAAGTAAAAGTATTTTTACACACTACCTCTCTTTTTTTTTTTAAACGAAGTTTTAACATCAGACCTTTTGGGGGAAAGCTACTTCAGGGCTTGACTTTTTGTACAAATTTTAACTGTAAAATACAAATTTGTACGCATTCATGGAAATCAAAGCTGCTAGTGCTTTTTGTTTTAATTATTCTGTTAAGGGTATCTGTCAATGGTATTTTCAACTAGATCTCTGTCTCTTAAATTATTGGTGAAATAATTGATTACTAGACATTGTAAAACCAGTAGATTCTGGCTGTACAATAAAATATCAGCTCATTGGTAGTCTGAATCAATTATTTCAAGTGCACCTTATTAAAAAAAAAAATCAGTGGATCCAGCATAAAATTTTATAGTACTAAATGTCAAGCCTAACTGTGAATTTTGTTCTGTATCTTAAGTAAGCTTATGATAATGTTCTTGAGCTATCAACAAAATATATGTACTTTTGTGAGCTATGAATTTTCTAATTAAATTTTACATGCTATAACATGATTTTTACATGAATACTTTATAACTATCAAATGTCAGTATTTTACTACAATTTTATTATAAAATGTACATTATCACTAAATGAACTTTGATTTTAAAAATCAAATTAGCTTTAGTTGTATATTATTTTTTACAAATAAAGATAGACTTGTATAAAGGCTATTTTCTTGTTTGAAATTATATGAAAAGTCGCTCACAAATACCAGCTGCCCATTATATAAAATAGGTAAGGAGAAAACCACTGAGTTTTAACAAGATCCTTAGCTTTTAATTATTAAAAGATGAACAGCAAATTTTATGTACACTTACTGCAACTTTATGACCATATGGCTATGGGCTGGAAGGTAACTTTTAAAATGTAATTAATTCTGATAGTTTGAAAGTTTATGCAAGCTATTCACCCAAAGTTATCTTTAACATTAAGATTATTTGAAACTAGTTTGTAATGTGACAGCTTATCTTCTGAAATTCAAATTCATTCAGTTATTTATTAACATCTATATAGAATGGCCTATATGGATTGAATTCAATTTATACTGAAAAACTTAAAAAGGTGTGAGAAAAAAACCAACCCTTCCTGGCATGATCTCAGCTCACTGCATCCTCCACCTCCCGGGTTCAATCGATTCTCCCTCCTCAGCCTCCTGAGTAGCTGGGATTACAGGCGCATGTTGCCACACCAATAGAGACAGAGTTTCACCATGTTGATCAGGCTGGTATTGAACTGACCTCATGATCTGCCCACCTCAGCCTCCCAAAGTGCTGGGATGACAGGCGTGAGCCACCGCACCAGGCCCCTGAGCCATTTCTAATCCCAAATTAGCCACCGTTTCTTTGGCTTGGTTGACCATTGCACTAACTCTTCCGCCAACAAGTTTAGAGGACTATAGGACAATTCTAATTCTTCCCCTCCAAGTTAAAAACACTGAAAATCCCCCGAGTATAAATGGAGCATCATGCACGTAGAATTCTTCACACCTTTGGGTTGCATTCAGCACTTGATAATCATCTCTGGGTTTTGGGTCCATGAATCAATGGTGCAGAACTAAAATATCCCCTTCATTCCTAAAAAATGACCCCAATGCAATTTACATCTTAAATCCCTGTTGCTTCCTAGTTATCAGTGCTGAGTAAGAACTTGATACGTTTGATTTTGAGGAAAAGCTAAAGTTACAAGAATTAATGAAAGCCAAACCCCTGTGTTCTGCCTTTAGGTGCCCAAGTGTTTAACAGCAACTGATACAACCACTTCTGATTGTGTTTCTTTTAGTTTGATGCGGGGTTTAACTTGGAAGTATGTATACTGGCGACTTGGCAGCTGAGTTCTAGATCCAAACACGATTTTGGGAGGGTTTTGCTTTTAAACATTCAAAGTCTTTGTTGTCATCTTGTGATGGCCTATCACGTGTTGATGGTGGCTGTTATCTGTAGGGTAAAGCAAAACCCAGTGCCTCCTAGCTATGATCAGATAAAGTATGCTTCTTAAGTGCTGTCAGAAAAGATATTTTAGAAACCAAAATTAAGTCTTCATTGCCCAATGGAAGTACATGTACAGTCAATTGATTGTCATTTGGTGGATGTCTGGGCATTAGAAGGTAAATATACAGGAAATTAATGGATTAAAAAATCATTAACATGTAGTAATCTACCAAATTCTTCCCAAAAAACAAGGTTTAGATAGATAATATTTTGGTGTTTTTGAGACAGAGTTTTGTTCTTGTTGCCCAGGCTGGAGTGCAGTGGTGCAATCTTGGCTCACTGCAACCTCCGTCCCCCCGGATTCAAGCGATTCTCCTGTGTCAGCCTCCCAACTAGCTGGGATTACAGGCGTGCACCAATACATTCGGCTTATTTTTGTATTTTTTAGGGGAGATAGGGTTTTGCCACGTTGGCCAGGCTGGTCTCAAACTCCTGACCTCAGGTGATACACCCACCTTAGCTTCTCAAAGTGCTAAGGTTACAGGTGTGAGCCATCATGCAGAGCCACATAATATTTTAAAAGCTAATGTGTTTACCCAGTTGCTTTACTACACAATAGTATTTTATAAGTTAATATTAAAATTCAGTGGGGGTTTGTATTTTATTTACAAGCTATATTTAGGTGTTTTTCCATTTATAAAAGCTCACTGGGAATGAAGTTCACTCTAAAGGCAGTATTCTCTGTGCAATAGAAAATAAAGAAAATTTAATACCCTTATTATCTAGTTCATTATAATCCCACGGGATGGATAACAAGATAATACAGTATGAGCACGTAAAGATAACTTTTTACAAATAATTTTCAACCATACAAATAATGTGCAAATTCATTCTCCATATTAAAAATGTACAGAAAAAGCTGAAGTCTTTTGTTGATACCATGCACGTATATCCATACCGTATTCTGTTACAAAAAGGAATTGTGGCTTAAAATAAGAGTGACTATAATTTATAATCCATATTGGGACACTGGTGAGAATGAATGGGTTTGCCATTAATATGCCAGTAGAACAGCTCAGACTGGATCTGTCTCAGGTTCATTGCAATATGGGTCACCCTGTTATAGTGGTTCTCCAATTTTTGTTTGTTTTAGATGGAGTCTCTCTGTTGCCCAGGCTGGAGTGCAGCGGCGCAATCTCGGCTCACTGCAACCTCCACCTCCCGGGTTCAAGCAGTTCTCGGCCTTAGTCTTCCAAGTAGCTGGGATTACAGGCACCTGTCACCAT